GTCATCGTCAGCGATCCCAACACTGCAGAATATACAGTATGTTTAGAGTTTGACTGACAAAATGCTCATGAATTTTGCAACTCTGTTCGTCGTCCACCACTAACGTTATCGTCTAGTCTCGTCTCGTCAACGTAAACGCACGTCACATCATCACATTTTAGTCATTTAGTCAAGACTTATGTTAAGCTTGTCAATGTCAGGTCTTTGTCGTGGAAAAAAAGGGGCATTGACGAAATATTTTCGTCAACGAAAACAACACTGCAGCACAGGTGACTACAGTGCCATGAGAAAGTTTGGGCACCCTGTCTGAGGTTGTATAATAATTGACTCTGTCTCCACAGAAAATAATCCTAGTGTCATGTCCTTCATTTGCCCATCAGAGCCAAGTGTTGGGTTGTTTTGCAGACTCTGATTTTAAGTATTGGTGGTATTCTTTTGTATGAAATTAAATCAAATGTGAAAAATAGGGTGTGCAAAAATGTGGGAACCCTTGACATTTTCTTGCTTTGAAGACCTGTAACTAATCATCACAGAGTAATTGGAAACACCAAGTTGGTCAGGTGAGCTCATTAAGCCTTGAACTTAATAGGCAGGTGCATCCAATCATGACAAAGGCTATTTAAGGTGACCAAATGCCAGTTCTTTTTCTCTTTGACTCTCCTCTGAAGAGCTGCAAGATGGGGGCGTCAAAACAACTTTCAAATGACCTCAAAACCAAGATTATCCAGCAGTATGGTTTAGGGGAAGGCTACAAAAAACTTTCCAAAAGATTTCAGCTGTCAGTGTTTACCGTGAGGAACATTGTAAGAAAGTGGAAAGCCACAGGCACAGTCCTTGTCAAGGCCAGAAGTGGTAGGCCAAGTAAAATTTCAGCGAGGCAAAGACGAAGGATGGTGAGTGGTTAAAGACAACCCACAGACCACCACCAGAGACTTGCAGAGTGATCTAGCTGCAGATGGGGTCACTGTGCACAGGTCAACAATACAGCGCAATTTGCATAAGGAAATGCTGTATGGCAGAGTGATGCGTAAGAAGCCCTTTCTTCACAGTCGCCACAAATTGAGTCGCTTGAACTATGCAAAAGCACATTTGGACAAGCCAGCATCCTTTTGGAATAAGATCCTGTGGACTGACAAAACAAAAATTCGAATTATTTGGTCACAACAAGAGGCGATACACATGGCGAAAAAAGAACACAGAATTCCAAGAAAAACATCTGCTACCCACAGTGAAATTTGGTGGAGGTTCCATCATGTTGTGGGGCTGTGTGGTGAGTACTGGTACTGGGAACCTTGTTAAAATTGACGGTCGCATGGATTCCACTCAGTATCAGCAAATTCTTGAAAATAATGTGCAGGAGTCCGTCACAAAGCTGAAGTTGCGCCGGGGATGGATGTTTCAACAAGACAATGACCCTAAACATTGTTCAAAATCCACTCGGGCATACATGCAGAGGAACAAGTACAGTGTTTTAGAATGGCCATCCCAGTCCCCAGATTTGAATATCATTGAAAATCTGTGGGATGAGTTGAAGCAAGCCGTCCATACTCGTGGACCTTCAAACCTCAATGAATTAGAGCTGTTTTGCAAGGAGGAGTGGGCCAAGATGCCTTTATCCAGGATCCAGACACTCATTAGTGGCTATAGAAAGCGTCTAGAGGCTGTGATTTCTGCAAAAGGAGGCTCTACTAAATATTGATGTGATGTTTCTGTTAAGGTGCCCAAATTTATGCATGGGCCTATTTTTGCTTTGGTGCATATTGCACATTTTCTGTTAGCCCAATAAACTTTACTTCAATGCTGAAATATTATTGGGTCTATGAGTTATTTCATATATCAAAAGTAAGTTGTGGAATCAAACACCCAATGATTGATGAATGAAAATACTGGGATTTGTCAAGGGTGCCCAAACTTTCTCATGGCACTGTATAAGCCTCTTTCGTAGAGAGACATTCTGCAAAACCATTTCTAAAGATCAGGACACAGTATGGCTCGCACTGGTCCTAAACTGGTGATGGATGATCTTCCTCCTCTCTCCTTGATCTTCTCCCCTTGGAGCAGTCATGGGTGTTGGGAAAACGTTTTCTTTTGATGGGTATTCAGTTACTTCTGTGACTGAAGAAATATCATTGAAGAGCTTTGAGAAGTACTGCATGTGCTTGAGGGAGAGGTTAAGATCTCCAATGAGCTCAGTTGACAGAAGATGTGAACTGTGGAGACTTTTATTGATGAGTTTACTGCAGTGAGAAACAAAAGCAGGAGGTTTACATGTCTCAACAAGGATATGCATTCTCCAGAGATGGTTTCAATATGCAATAGTATTACAGTCAGATACACTAACAATACACTTAATGTTATTTAGTTTAATTCAGTTCCTCATCAATCTGAATTAATAAGTCACTGAAAAACCCTTAATCTTCATGGTTATCCAAATGCTGTTGTTTACTGAAATTAAAGCTCCTATAAGGAGTTTTTTGACATTTCTGAAATTGACAGAAATTCCTGATAATGCTTCCTACTGATAAACAAAAGCAAACAAAACTATAATCAATAAGATTAGAGATTTTCATACCATTATTTTTATTGTTTAAAACGTGTATGAAAGGGAACGCCCAAGTGCTGCAGCTGGAGAGAGAGACACAGCACTGATTTATTATTTTTTGTTTGTTTTTAATTGCAGTTTTCACCTAAAATATTCACAATAAATCATATATATGACTGTTAAAAACAGCAGGAAGACCTTTGTTGTCATAAATCACTATTACAGCAAATTTCCTCACTGGAGCTTATAAGTCCAAATTTTTAAAAAAGGATGCACAAGTGCATATATGCATTCAACTACATCAAGAGATACATCAAGTAAATCAACATAAAAATAGTTTCCATGTTGCAAAATAATCCAAAGTAATCTATAAAAATGAGAATCCACCTAAAAATATATGAATATGTACATTTAATAGCTTTGGATGAGCTGTAAACCTGAGCCCTGATTTTACTACTTTTACCCACAAGAACATTTAAGTGTTGTTCATGCGAACTCTACAAACAGTTTCCTGAATGAAACAAGTATTAATGCAAAATGTTAGTTCTTCTCTAAAAACGCAGTACTAATTCCAACAGAAGGAGAAAACGTTTACATTGAGTTTTCAGGAAGAGCCTAAAAAATAAGAGGAGAGAAGACCCAGTAAGATGAAACCTAAAGCTTTGCTCACTCCTGTTGATAAGCTATGGATTAATAATGAGTGAACAGAACTGACAGGCCTTTAAACTGAAGGCAAAGGGACATTTTCAGTGTTTCAATCACTTCAAGTCCAAACAGCCTAATAGAAAAACTGTATTATGTTAGAAAAAATGTTCAAAAAACACTCTTTAGCAGGACCTCCAGTTCACTGCTGGAAGTAAGAATAAGAAGTTTCTGCACTGAGACAAGACTGTGAGCCTATATTGTTTAAGATGGTGCTGTAAAATAATCATCTTTTTTAATGCATTTCCACTTAGAGGTCAGGTTTAGTTTAGCACAATTCAGCACAGTTTGGTGTGGTAAACCCTGGTCTTGTTTTCTTTTCCACAGCAGACTGTACCCTACCCTGGTGTCTACACAGGAAGCGGTCTAACTGATTAGACAGTGCGGCGTAAGTCAGGTCCGCCGCGCTAACAAGGCGTGCCCAAGCACATTTTGGTATTTTGGTGAGCGGCGCGACCTGGCCTAAGTATCCCCCCTCCCTATCTCAGCTCCTCCCAGCGGTGTAAGTCGTAGAGAGGGCATGGAGTGGGTTTAATACAGCCGAGACCTGTTTTCGCCAATCAGATCAGCTCCTGTCCTCACCTTTAAATCCGCCACCTGCGAGACGTATTAAAATTTTAGCGAAGTAGTCAAAGAGATCAAGAGATGGCTGAAGGCAGTAATGCCACATGATGGCGACAGAAGGCAGCCCCTCAACAAGTGTTGCTGTAAGCACTACATTTGGCGTCCTCCACACTCTCTCATATGAGCACAGATGGATTTCGTGTGTGTAAGGTTGGACCCACTGGTAGGACAAACATCCTTTCCCACAAATAAATACAATCACATAAAGTTGCATATATTTAAACCTCACGTGACAAAGGTGGGTTGTGCGCACAGATCACAACATAAACTCTAATAATGGCATTTAAATCGGAACCATCTGTGCGTAAATGACTCATCGCGCTCCGTGGCCTGGCTCTTTCTTTCATAGATGTTGGCATATAAAATAAATTTGACTCACAAAACTGAATATTATAATATTCGTATGTCGGCTTAAAGTAAATAACTCATCTGATCACTGAAACAAATCATCTGTTCAGCCACTGTAGGACGGAGAGAGGACACGGAGACATGTCCAGGTTGAGCTGCGTGTGAAATAAGAGGAAGAGGAAGATAGAAATAGGGAGAAGACGAATTAGATATCTTGTTCACTTTATCATGTGTGTCTATTTACTAGATATTTAATTTAATTTAATGTGGTTTCAGCTGTGTTGATTCGGTCAGGTCGTGTGTCCAAACGCGTGCCAAATGCGCATCTCCGATCAAATATAGATCAGAATATATCTATATAGATCTAAATATATTTGCTGACTGAAAATTGCCCAGCCCAGCTTGGCGGACCCCGGTGCACCTCAGTCCGCGAAAGTACCAAACTGGCTGTATGCCAGTTTTTTGTTTTTTTTCTGAAGTTGTATCTAGGTAAGTTATTCGGTGAAAAAAAGTTCATTAGTTAAATTATAATCAAATATTAGGTGAACTTTTGATGGGAAAAAGTCAGTGGCTGCAGGTAATCGGATCAGTATCTTAAATGGGCTTTGGAAAAGGTCAGGCAGTTCAGGTATTTTGGTACCTTTACCAATTTCCAATGATAGAAATCTAAATAATTGTGTTGCACATCATGCCTAACTGAACCAGAACCCTTGGTGGAATTGCATCCTAAATGTTTTCTTCATTTTGACATTAACAGGGGGGGACCACACAATCCTTTCACAGGTCAAATGTCATGACCCAGCCAAGCGATCTCATCCAGTAGAAAGTCAATGTCCTCTTGCTGTGTGGCAGGATTGGAAAACACACATCTGAAGAAATTGACTTTGTCCCCCAGCGGCTGATAGCCAATCATGACAGAGCCTTTCTCCATCATCCTGCCTTTGATCTGAGGGGCCACCTGCGCAGACATCACCAGGAGATACAATATTAGTCAGGAGCATTGATCCGGATCCTTACTGAGCAGGACTCAAGAGCTGTACTGACCTGATTGAGTCTGGAGTCTCGTTCAGGTCCAGGTGGAAGTCCTCTTAGGCTGGGGGGAATGTACCAGAAACAAACATTGCTGTGCTCCGGCTGTGAGAGACACAGAGCAGGTGTACCAGGTGAGAACTGACTTATGATTCATGAAATCAAAGACCAAAATCTGAAAACATGTACATAAAAACTCTAAACAAATACCTGATAACATTCTTTACCTAACAAGTTTAATGCTGCAAATTTATACTAAAAGATTTGCTGTTAGTGTCCCAAATATCTATAACAAATTATTGGCTTAGAGTTGTACAGGTTTGCTTATTTAACTTATTTAAATTTACTATTGTGGGACCTCTGGGACCAATTTAAACTTGTTTAAAAAAGCCATAATAGGGGATCTTTAAGCCCAATAGTTAATTTTTATGAATGTTTCTGGTTTCACAGAAAAAAAAAGATCTTCCATAAAATCTGAGAGTATGAGAGTCAGTAAGGTGTTGACCACTTTACAGCACTCCTACTGTTTCAAGGACTTGACATGATGATGAAATGCCGTGATCCTGCTTTGAACTGCTGTCTATTAAGCAAATATGCATTCACGCCTATCCGAATCCATATTACACCATTGATCTGTGCTTGAAAATGAGACAAAACCTCTTACACAAACTGATGTGTTAAGATATTTTAAAATAAAAATCCTCATAAAAAGTGATATAATAATAGTAAATGAAACATGGCACACAGAATGATCCAAGCGGTGTATATTAAGTCTTACTTTGTGTCTGAAGACCAGCTCAAAGTCTGTCCTCCTCTGCAGCTGATCATACAGATACTCTGCATTCTCCAAACATTTGTTGATCTGAGATCCAAAACCCTCTGAGCCCTGAAAGATCAGCCCATGGAACAAACAGATACGAAACATTGTAAAACAGCAATATTTTAAAAGCACTTAAGTGTATATGGCCATCAGACGTAAAAATCTAAAAAGCAAAGAATCAGCATCATCCATCAAATCTGTGACAAAAATTGTTTTAATATTACAGTAAGACTCTTTTTATTACTGCAGGCTCATTTTTTAACCAAGCTTCATCAAATTTAAAACATCTGATATCCGGTATCCTGAAAAAGTCTTTGCCAAATGTGGTACCATTGTAGACTTTGATTGATTTTACATATTTAAGAAAAATGGCAAGTTGTTGCCTGCTGCCTCCACTTTGTGAAAACAGCCAGAAGGTAAAAAAAGGAAGATAAAAATCGGTGTAACACTAGGATGACTCTGATCCAGTACAGGATTACCTTTGCTTTCCACATAAGCCAAAGTTTGAAGGCATCGACATGTCGGCCACACTGGATGCTCTTGTCTCCAGTATCATAGCTCACATCATATGGTTTGTCTGTCTGGAAGAGGTACTCAGCCCCCAACTCATTACACTCCTGTAGGAGACCCTGTGTACAGAGGGACACATCAACCATTAAAATGTGGTGTATGCTGCACCAAAGAAACGCACAACACAAAACAGACCCTCTTTTTTCAATCTCTGAATAACAAGCATTTAAAAAGGTAGAAATATCTGTGTTCATCTCATTGTTGGCATCTCTCACTTTCATCTTGACCAGTATGGCAGAGCACTGCAGGGGGACTCCCATCATCTTGTGAGGATTCCATGTTACAGACGAGGCCCTGAGAAGCACACATAGTACATAGTACTGCATGAGTTAGAAACCACAAACCCTGCGGTGCACCTGGAGACGAAAAAACTGCATCTGACTTGAAGGATGAAGTACAGAGCAAGGGGCTTATTTACACAACCCTGTTCAACTGCCAGGTTTTCATGATGTAAGAAAATGACAGCAAGATAAATATTTTTACAACTTTTTCCACCTTTAATGTGACCTACAACCTGTACAACTCAATTGAAAAACAAACTGAAACCTTTAAGGGGAAAAATAAAAAAACAGCAAAGTTAAAATTACCTGGTTGCATAACTATTCACACCCTTAAACTAATACTTTGTTGCAGCACCTTTGGCTTTTATTACAGCACTCAGTCTTTTTGGGTAGGAGTCTATCAGTGTGGCACATCTTGATGTGGCAATATTTGCCCACTCTTCTTTGCAAAACCGCTCCAAATCTGACAGATTGTGAGGGCATCTCCTGTGCACAGCCCTCTTCAGATCACCCCACAAACGTTCGATGGGATTCAGGTCTGGACTTTGGCTGGGCCATTCCAAAGTCTCAATCTTATTCTGGTGAAGCCATTCTTTTGTTGATTTAGATGTGTGCTTTTGGTCATTGTTGTGCTGAAAGAAGAAGTTCCTCTTCATCTTCAGCTTTCTAGCAGAAGGCTGAAGGTTTTGTGCCAACACTGACTGGATTTGGAACTGTTAATAAATCCCTCCACTCTGACTAAGGCACCAGTTCCAGCTGAAGAAAAACAGCCCCAAAGCATGATGCTGCCACCACCATGCTTCACTGTAGGTATGGTGTTCTTTTGGTGATGAGCAGTGTTGATTTTGCGCCAAATATACCTTTTGCAATGATGCCCAAAAAGTTCAACTTTGGTTTCATCAGACCATAACACATTTTCCCACATGCGTTTGGGAGATTTCAGATGTCTTTTTGCAAAATTAAGCCGGGCTTTGATGTTTTTCTTTGTAAGATAAGGTTTCCATCTTGCCACCCTACCCCATAGCCCAGACATATAAAGACAGTGGGAGATTGTTGTCACATGTACTACACAGCCAGTACTTGCCAGAAATTCCTGCAGCTCCTTCAGTGTTGCTGTCGGCCTCTTGGTAGCCTCCCTGACCAGTTTTCTTCTTGTCTTATCATCAATTTTGGACGGACGTCCTGTTCTTGGTAATGTCACCGTTGTGCCATATTTTCTCCACTTGATGATGACGGTCTTTACTGTGTTCCATGGTATATTTAATTCCTTGGAAATTCTTTTGTAGCCCTCACCTGACTGATATCTTTGAATAATGAGATCCCTCTGATGCTTTGGAAGCTCTCTGCGGACCATGACTTGTGCTGGAAGATGTGGCTACAAAAATGTCAGGAAAAGCAACTAGAACAGCTGAACTTAATTTGGGGTTAATCAGAGGCACTTTAATTGGTGACAGGTGTGTGCTGACTCCAATTTAACCTGAGTTTGAATGTTATTGGTTAAATCTGAACACAGCCACACCCCCAGTTATTAAAGGGTGTTCACACTTATGCAACCACATGATCTCTGTTGTTTATTTTTACTTCACCTCCCTGAAAGATTTCTGTTTGTTTTTCAATTGTGTTGTACAGGTTATAGGTCACATTAAAGGTGGGAGAAGTTGTGAAATTATTTATCTTGATTTATTTTTTTACATGACAAAAACCTGGCAGTTGAACAGGGGTGTGTAGACTTTTTATATCTACTGTAGGTAAACTGGTACTCTTTTATTCTTGTGAGCCCTGACCTTCTGCTCTGTGCCTCTGTGTGATGAAGACTTCAGATCATTTATTATTTTATCACTTCAGTCAGTCTGTGCTGTTGTCCTAATGAACATACTATCTTCAGTGTCTCATCCTTGATTTGTACACATGTATTCAAAGAAAAATATTTGTGTTTCCATTACTAATTTACTTTGAATCAAATCAAATTATATTAAATTAAACAGAATCCCACTGAGTTGTTCTTTAATGTCATAAATCATCCCTAAATCAGATAGAAATGAGTGATGCACATAACACTCACCGACTATTAGTACAAAGGAGATGTAGCAGAGTCCCAAGCAGTTGGAAATAGGCCAATTTACAGTCGACCTCATCCAGAAGCTGCAGCATGGCATGGCAAGTGTCAATAAAAGTTTCCTACTATTTTGCCCCAGCCACTCAAACGACTAAGTAAGCAGGACAAGCATCCTGCTTCGACCGACAAGTGAGGATCAGTCACCACAGGGAGAGAGGCTCACACACCCAGGATCCTTCACAGCGTCACACACGCACGTGCACACACACAGAGCAGTGATCTGAAGTAAACATCGGTATAAACTGTATAAACTTCTTCACCAGAATCTCCCTCATCTACACACCTGTCTCCTCTCATCCACACAGACCCACCTGTGTTCACAAAGCTACAGCTTTCACAGCAGCTCATCACAGCACACCGCAGTTTAATGGAGATCTGACATAAAATAACGGAGGAAACGTGACCTCAAAAAATATAAAATAACTGCATTTAATCACCTTTGGGGGGGCCCAGCTCACAAAAGGTTGAGAACCCCTGACTTAACCTATTTAAACCGGGACAGCATGTATGCATTTCAACCTTCCAAGCCAGGAACGTGGCTGCTCATGTCTACCCTTTAAGCCGGGTGCGTGGATACATCATTTTGTAACATTCTGTAGTTTTGAATCATTTCTGGAATCGTAGGGAATCAAATAATCATACCCGTCTGCCTCTGTTAGGCGAATAAAGCAATCTGATTCATACTCAGATTTTGCAACGTGTGTTGTGAGGAAAGTAAACAATGACGGAGGCAGAGAGCAGCTTCGGAGGAGAATTGTCAAGTAGTGTGAACAACCTCTTAATATTGAGTGCTTTGGCTCACACTATCGACAATTTCTGAGTGTTGCATGACTTTGGGTGAGCACAGAGATGAACACACTGTCAGCCACGTATTTATTGATGTATTTATTTTTTTTAGTTTTTAGAGCTGCTTTTGTACTGGCACTATACTAGGGCAGCTACATACCCTTTCAAGACTTTATTTCTTATATTTACATTTGTATTGAATGGACACTTTATCATGACTGCCACTTGTTTTACAGAAAGCAAATAGTTTGTTATTCGCCAGTGCAGAGTCTTTATACAACCGCTTTACTTCTTTTGAGTTTGTTTGTTCAAGGTTTTCAATAAGGTTTTCTTGAATGCCACATGTGTAAGCTCTCAAATACTTTTTGAATTTTGTTTCTATCTGCTACAAAGGCGGATAGAAACAAATCTGGGGGCCCTTCTCAAAATTGCCCTCTGGATTTCAGAGGCATGTCTCAGACAGGGTTCGAGTTTTAATGGATTAAAGCAAATGAGACAACTGTTGACGAAACTGACAACTTTTAATGTCTGAAATTGGGGGAAGAGGGTTGGTATCTGCTATAGTAGCCCTGTTTCATAATTTCGCTGCTTTCTTCACATGGGGCACCAAGATGAACACAAATCAAAAGTTCTTCACAGGAGCTTTAAAGAGAATCACTGTCAGGAAAACAATCAGTAAAAATCAGAGTTTTTGAGCTTTAATGCCTGATTCACTCTGAATTAAACTTCCCCAAGACCTGGATTAATATCGCAGTCCAGCCCACTTAAAAAATGAGCCATTAAAAGTGAAATCCTGGCTTCAGGCGTGGATAAACTAACTATTATTCTTTAGGTACATTTCTTGAAAACTATTGTTTGTCCGTCATAGCAAGAAAAGAAACCACGTAACAAACACAAAGCCTCTGTAAAATTACACATCAAAAGTGTAATTAGGATCAATCAGACTGGTAGAGTTTTCTAGTAAAATCCATCAAGGGTTCGAACTCAGGGTTATTTATGCAGATTTTTCTGCTTGGTTCATTGTCTGCTGTTGTGAAGTAACAAAAAACACAAAGTAAGTTAAAGGTTTCAGAGTGGAATACCACATCAAAGTTACAGTGTGTAGTGTTTATGTTGTGTGTTGCCATGGTTACCGTTCAATGCCCTGTAGTTTTGTCCTGTGTCGGTCTGACATCAGCAGGCCTCCGCCCCACGCCGCCTGAAGAGATAGACTCAGAATCAATAACAGACTCTAAACACTCGCACACCTGATATTTTCATGTCAGCTGCTGCAGGGTCTGTGGCTGTTTGCTGTCAGGAAGTCCCCTGAGGAGCAGTTTGTTTTATGGTTATGGATTCATAAATAAAACTCATTTGTCTTGAGGTAATGAGTCATACAGGCTGCCTCCAACCACAGAGAGAGACAGTCATTGTTACAGTGGATATAAAAAGTCTACACACCCCTGTTCAACTGCCAGGTTTTTGTCATGTAAAAAAATTAAATCAAGATAAATAATTTCACAACTTCTCCCACCTTTTAATGCGACCTATAACCTGTACAATGCAATTGAAAAACAAACAGAAATCTTTCAGGGAGGTGAAGTAAAAATAAACAACTGAGATCATGTGGTTGCATAAGTGTGCACACCCTTTAATAACTGGGGATGTGGCTGTGTTCAGATTTAACCAAAAACATTCAAACTCAGGTTAAATTGGAGTCAGCACACACCTGTCACCAATTAAAGTGCCTCTGATTATGAATTATGAACAGTTCCAAAAACCACTCAGTGTTGACACAAAACCTTCGGCCTTCTGTTAGAAAGCTGAAGATGAAGAGGAACTTCATCTTTCAGCACGACAATGACCCAAAGCACACATCTAAATCAACAAAAGAATGGCTTCACCGGAATTAGATTGAGACTTTGGAATGGCCCAGCCAGAGTCCAGACCTGAATCCCATCGAACATTTGTGGGGTGATCTGAAGAGGGCTGTGCACAGGAGATGAATATTGATAAATATTGCCCCATCAAGATGTGCCACGCTGATAGACTCCTACCCAAAAAGACTGAGTGCTGTAATAAAAGCCAAAGATGCTGCAACAAAGTATTAGTTTCAGGGTGTGAATATTTATGCAACCAGGTTATTTTAACTTTTTTATTTTTTATTTTTCCACTTAAAGGTTTCAGGTTTTTTTTTATTGAGTTGTACAGGTTATAGGTCACATTAAAGGTGGAAAAAGTTGTAAAAATATTTATCTTGCTGTCATTTTCTTACATCATGAAAACCTTGTAGTTGAACAGGAGTGTGTAGACTTTTCATATCCACTGTATGTGTACCTGTGACATTACATTATACAGTATCTCTGGATCATGTGACTCCTGGTTGATATTTTGTGGGTGATGAGAACTGAAGGGTGACTGGGGGTAACCTAAGTCTCTTTTGATATGCACTGATCCTTGTGTATAAAAAAGGGGACCTATGAAAAACAGTGAGAAAATGGAGAAAGAGAGAGTAATGGAGGGCTTACATCCACATGCATCCACAGTGTGTGTCTGTGACAGATATCTGCAATGTCATTGAAAGGATCGAAGGCGCCGTACACTGTGGTTCCTGCTGTTGCATTCACATAGAAGGGAACCAGACCCTGTAGAGATGAACAGATGAATAATTTATTTAAGTAAATGATTCCTAAACTGTGGATTTGTCTTACTGAGAGGTAGAGTACTCCCATCTGTTTTCATGTTAAGGTTGTGGGTGATATTAGGAGCCATGTAGTCTAGGCTTTGGAACTTAAGTGATGGATATTCATTACCGAAAACACATCTTTTTTTTATACATCCACATAATGATGCAATGTAGGTTTTTCTTGCTAAATCTTTTCAAAGCATGAGAAACACAGATGTTGCTGTGACAGTCAGAAAAGTGCTTAATAAAACTTTAGGGAGATTACAAGGCTAGCCTCAGACACTCCTGGAAAGGTATAACCTTCAGGTCTTTTTGTAAATGCTGTGTAAAAAGTAACACCACAAAGCTTTGTCTATAGGTTCTTACAGGCCGGGGCCGACGCAAATATAGAACGCGAAATTACGAAATATTCGAAGGCGAATTTTTCTGCTCCTGACTATACACATCAAGCCTGATGTGATTTTGCAACTTTCCGGGGGGAAAAAGACGCATCCCGGGGAAAACTTTTCCTGGGGAAAGTCCCGCCTCCTTCGCCTCTGATTGGCTAGAAAAGCTGGAAACATCATCAGACGCTCAAGCCAAATGGTCAGCACTTATAGCCAATCAGAGGCGAAGGAGGGCGGCTTTCTATCATGATAGCATGTACTGAGTTGGGGCCAGTACCAGATAAGCACATTAAACTATGGTAACAACCATTAGCTCACGTTAGCACAGATGAAAGTCAAAACAAAGACGTTTAGCAAACTGTTAAAGCACACAAACCATCGTCATATGAGAAATCCGCCACTATGACTCTCCACAAGTTGTCCTTCAGGTCGTTATCTTTGTAATAATGGGGTCTTTTATCAAAAAACACTCTGTTCTCCCACCCACTCAGCAGGTCAGCCATGTTGGATATACTGGTGAATCAGACATTGCAACAACACGCAGTCTGATTGGTCAGAAGTGGACACACAGTATGCGAAGCTTTAGGAAAGTCGACCTTGATCCGAAAAAATGCCATAATATCGCAGAACGGGGAAATGTCCCTGATGTGAACGCTTGTATTGACAGGATACGGGTTCTAAAAAAAATATTGACGTCCGAAATAATCACACGACAAAAATGGTCCCGGTGTTAAAGGACCTTGACTCTATCAGTGTGAAAGCATCCAAAATTAAGGCTATGTTCACACTTCAGGTTATGATGCACACTTCAGATTTTTTTGTTAAATCTGATCTCTTTGTGCGGTCGTTCACAATACAACAAAGAATGCAACATCTAATGTGAACGGAATGAGTCCGTGAAGTGACCCGCATGCGCACAAAGCAGGACGTGACGCTGTTCTCCATTCCCTAGTCCGCCATTGCTTTGTGCGCCTGTTTGTGTTGTTGAACAATGGTGACATTTGTCGCATATTGATGACTTATAGGTCGTTGAACGCGACCTGAGCATCTTCACTGCAGTCACATCGGATACATATCTGATTTAGATCCACATACAAAAGAGGCCTGGGTCAGATTTAAAAAAATCAGAATTGCACTGTTCACACTTACATGAAAAAATCAGATATGAGTCACATATGGTTAAAAAATCGGATTTGACCTGTAGGGTGAACATAGCCTTAGTGTTGCAAGCAAAGGCTGACTGAAGCTCGAATGAAGGTTTTCACAGATGCCATTCTGAGATGAATAAGGTGTTTCAAGATGACTGACAGAATAAAAGCAGCAAATGCAATCTGTTTAACAGATCGCCTTTCATTGTTGGTTTTTACACACACTGATAAAAGCCCTGAGATTATTTCTCTTGACTTGCTCCCCCTTCATTCTTACCTTGTTTTTAGCTTTAGCAATAGAGGACTCCAGTTCATCAGGGATCATTTTCCCTCTAAAGGACCAAATAAAAACAGAGTCAGTAAACAACACACCCACTACACTTCTACAAGGGGTATGCCATGTATTTTAATCAAAGACCTTTAAAATAGTATCATGTTTTTCCTGCAGTTAAGCAAATGTTATCACCTTTTTATTATTCTTTAAATCTTTTATCCTGCATGTGATACTACAATCTTCATTAGATATATATTAAATATTTGTCTCAAGAGCAAAAACGAAAAATCAGTTTCAATGCTCACTGTCTTTTAAACACTTGAAGCATGTTTATTAGTGCATGAGAAAATTGCCTTGGAAAATACACTCTAAGCTAAAGCTGCAACAGGTGAGTAAACATCTCTTTTGACGTGCATTGTATTGTATTGACTAAAAAAAAGAATGTCTTACTTACCCACCTTTCATCACATTTCACCACAAACACATTCTCACTGCCCATCCCCAGCACGGCTGCAGATTTCTTTACTGAATAGTGACTCTGAACGGATAAAAAGACAAACAATCATCTCCATTCATCTCACTCCAAACAGGTACATGGCTCATTCAGTGGACAGAAGTGGCTGGATTGTTTAGTTTGAAGAGGGAAGAGGTCCCAGGTGCACATGTCAGATGAGACTGAATACGCACAGCATCATGACTCAGGTTAGGATACGACTCTGACAAAAACAGTGCACCTGAAACTGGGCTAGAAACCAGGACCGTATTGTTCAAAAACTATTACCTAACTCAGCATCAAACTTCCATCCTTTCATCAGCTGAAAACCCTCAAACTGTGCAGGAAGAATTCATTGCATAATACCTACAGAAGGTCTACACAGTACAACTGATGCAAGAAATATGTGTGTGATAATGACAGAGTTCAGCTTAGAGAGGAAGAGTGGTATTTTTTTTTCTTTGTATTATAAGATTAAAGATTTACAGAAGAATACTAATATGGGAAGACAGGGAAAGAGGGGTAAAATACGGTAGTTTCCTGGCCAAAATGGGATACTTGACAGCTATTGCATCAACACAAGTGGTACAAGGAGAAGCTATAAATATTCAGAAGAATGTATTTGGAAGTCCAGATGTGTAATCTGTGAGCCTGTCATAATCCCAAAACCCTTGCTGTCAGGAGTGGGACTTGGTATCACCAGGACTTTTCTGAACCTGAGGGAAACCGGTGACTCACATACAGCTGCAGTTTGCATCATGTACCTCTGGAGTTCCTGCCTCACTGAGCACTAAAACCCATTTTACTCATTTGAATCAGAAAAGCTGAAAGGAAGAGTGTCTTCTGAGTAAAGGTCCTTACACACCGGGGCCGACACGAATACAGAACATGAAATTACGAAATATCCTGAGGCGAATTTTGACGCACCTGACTATACACTAGAAAAAGGTGCATCCCAGGGAAAGTCCCGCCTCCTTTGCCTCTGATTGGCTAGAAAAGCTAGAAACGTCATTACACGCTCATGCCAGATCATCAGCACTTATAGCCAATCAGAGGCCATAAGAAAAGCACATGAAACAATGGTAATAACCTTTAGCATACGTTAGCACAGATGAAAGTTAAAACAAAGACGTCTAGCAAACTGTTAAAGCACACAAACCATCGTCATATGAGAGATCCGACGCTATGACTCTCCACATGTTGTCCTTCAGGCTGGTATCTTTGTAATGTTTGTGTCTTTTATCAAAAAACACTCTGTTCTCCGACATGCAAACAATCAGCCAGTCGGCCATGTTGGATATACCGGTGAATCTGTCGTCTCAACAACACGCAATTTGATTGGTCAGAAGTGGACACGCAGTATGTGAAACTTTAGAAAAATCGACCGTGATACGAAAAAATTAATGCCGCAAAATCGCAGAACGGTGAAATGTCCCTGATGTGAACACTTGTAATGACAGAATACGGGTTCGGGAAAAAATATTGACATCCGGAATAATCGCACAACAAAAATGGTCCCAGTTTGAAAGGACCTTAAAGGTCGTTACACACCAGTAAATTAACAAAGCAAATTTGGGGAGCAAATAATACCCTTTTTCTTTCAACTTCATTAAGTCAATGCAAGCTTCCAAACCAGCTACGAACTTCTGCAGAGCAAAAAAGCGACTCTAATTTTTTCGACCCTGTAGCGAATTTTGCAAACATTTGCAGACAAACTGCTATATAAAGATATAACCTAATATAAATCTTACCTCAGAAATGTGGCAAGCCATTGCTCTTGACCAATCGGCTCTCTGTTATTTGTCCTCTCCTGTAAACGTGGAATCAGCTGATGGAGCAGTTCTTGATATTGTCCGAGGGACATCCTGAAGTATTGTCAGAATTTCTGAGGATACAATTTGAATTCCTGTCACAAGGTCAGTATTGGATGTACCCAGACACTTGGATTCTTCTTTTTCTATTTGTTATTTAATAGGCTAACAACCATGACCAGGTCATCATCACTTGAGGATGTAGTCGCCATCGTTTCTCCTTCTTCCCTTTCCTCCTCTGTTCTCCCGTAGCGTGTTTATGCTAATATGCTAATTTTATTCACGTCACAGGTGTGTGTGTGTGTAGGAAAAGGTGTAAGCTGAATATTTCGCATTTTTCCGTCGCTTTTTCGCATCACTTTGCTGACCCATTGGTGTGTAACGACATAACATTTCAGCTCTCAGTATTCTTTACAGCATAATTACACAACCCACAGTCCACAGGATCTGTTTACCTGATCACAACACACTGTGTTAGCTGCTGAAGCTGAAATAATAAACCCTACACACAACTGTGTCCACAGGCTGATCTGAGGTGCTTGGTGATTAACCTGATGCAAAATTGAGATGCTCATATTAGAGCTGAACAGTGAACTGAAGGCTGAAGAACAAATTGACCATCTAAGTGCAAATGGAAAATGAGTATGGGTCTCCTTTGAGAAACTGAAAATCAAGTCATATCAAACCCAAAGTGTGCTAACATGGAAAAGATCAAAAATATGTACAAAAAGTACAATGTGCTTACATGCTGTGAGGTGAAGAGGGCCAGTCTTGGCAAGGCTCCCATCCCTCTGGTCTTCACCTCGGGGTAGAAGTGAAATCTGGCCACCAGGATGCTGTACAGGTTGGAGATTGTTCCTCCTTCACAAACAGAAGAGAGAGAGTTTACAAACCAGCTGATTCAACACAGTGAGAGTCTGTACTGAAGCAAAATAAACACTTATCATGTAACTACAAAGGAACTTTACAAATACTGACTTATTTACAGACCAGCTGACTAAAAGTATAAGCTGATAAATTCATGCAAACATACTATCGACTGTTTAAAACCTTTGCTGGGTCCAAGATCACTCACTATTCACTTTCGTAAAGACTATTGATATGTCCTTTATAGGGGAGTTATTGTCTCCCACAATATAACTTACATGACTTAAGTACTACGTACACTGAAGTAATGGTAGTAATATGGGTCATTTATTCCATAGCAGTATGTAGGAAAATGGTGGATGGACAAAAGCTTTCCTCCTTTTTAAACAGTAATCTGTTGAACATTTTACAATATTTCAAAGCAGCTTATTTAGGTGATAAAATAAAAAAATGCTTAAAAAAATAACCCAAGAAGAATAATTTAAAAACATTAAATTAATTGGAATGAATCTTAGTTTAATAAAGTAAAAAAACAACAACTGTTAAATAGGGATAAAATATCAAATTATGAGGCTCTTGTTGGAAGGCTGCAACACACTCTTCTTTAAAAATTGTCAACATCAAGTTATTAAAATATTACCCAGAATTAAACCTTCTCTTCCCCGAAATACACCAATATTGACCGTATGTTTTACAAAACAGATATGGCATGCTCTCAAAAGAAAAAAAAAATTCACAGTGTTACAGCCATAAAAGTAATGCTGCTAAGATTTAACCCACGGTTCCTACTATGTCCATTTTGCGGACATTTGTCATTTTTTTACATCTTTATTTTGAGCTAACAGTCACATTTTTAAAGATTGGAGCATCAAGAGTTCTTATTTTTCTTCATATAAAAGAAGATAAAATAAATAAAAACTTGTCGCCTGTAGAACTCTGTAGCTGCATTTTAGCTCTATCCACCCACTTTGTCTGCAAAATGGACAATTGACTTCCATTAAAAACACGTTTTTTGACCATGTGGCACCTTAACAACATATTGCAACCTTTTTTTTTTTTTTTTTTTTTTAGTCACTCGATCACCAGGGCTCGAAATTTTGCTTACTGATAGCCAAGTACAAATTTTAGCCAGAATCGTTCAGTTGGTGATACAAGCATGAAAATTGGCATGAACATTCTCCATGGGTCACTTGACAAGAAAAGTGTCCCAGCCATTTGAAATTTCAAGATGGTGGACATTTTTCCAGATGGCCACCACCTAGGTGGATGTACTGGTTAAATTGGTGATATAGCCATGAAATTTGATATAAACTGTCTTCATGAGTCACTCAACAAGAAAATGCTCCAAGATGCTTGAAATTTCAAGATGGCAGCCATTGTAAAGATGGCCGCCATCTCATTAGAGCAGTCAAATGTCGTAAAGTTGGTGATATAAACATGAAAAATAGTAAGACCATTATCCATGAGTTACTTACATCCAGTCAACAGTCTCAAAGTGCTTAGCAGTAAAAAATACAAAACATTAAATATAAAAAGATTACAAACTAAAGAGCCCCTAAGGCAGACCTGGGCATTTTATGGCCAGAGGGCCACCCGCGCATGTGGCCCTCTGGATGTCGGCCCTTTGGATGTCCCTGCCCGGCCCTTCTTGAGGTCCGTCAATCAAATCGTCAACATGCTATACATGTGTGTTGCTTTTATTTTGAAAACCTAGCCGTTGTTTTATTTCTGTTTGGACGCACGTGCGTACATCCTAGATCTGCATTCGTGAACAGAGACAAGTTTAATAATACATAATATAATATACATAGACGCCTTATAGTTGCTCAATCAACTTATTATAAACAACTTTAGGCTTGTTCCTATCAGAGGTGGCTTGTAAAACTCGTGAGTCGTGGGTGTGCTTTTTTGGGCTTGTTTTTAACTAGTAGTTGCTTATTTGGGCTTGCTTTTCTGTATGTGTGAACCCCCCGATTTGAAGTTGAAGTCATTGTTGGTTTGGCCCTCCAACACAGTTCAGGTTTCTCATGTGGCCCATGTAAAAATTAATTGCCAACCCTTGCCCTAAGGGGACATGGAGAAAGACACAAAAAAAGAAATAAAACTCATGTGCATACTCGAAACATTCACATGCGTACGCTAAAGAGGTGCATTGTTCTACGGTTGGAGCGGGGATACCATGGGGTGTATTCCCGCTCCAATCGTTGTTCTCTGGTGGGGATACACCCCAAGGTATCCCCACTCCAAGAGGAGAATAATGCACCTCTTTCACATGAGCACACAAAACATTCATTTTTTTTTCATATTCTTTTTTTTCTCCATATCCCTTTAGGGGCTCCTTATTAAACATATTTCTAAATGAAAAAGAAAAACACAAAATATTAAAAAGAAATCTTAATTATGGTCATCATCTTGAAGTTTCAAGCAGCTTGGGGCATTTTCTTATTAGGTTATTCATGGGGAATGGTCTTACCAATTTTTATGTTTATATCACCAGCTTTGCATCATTTAACTGCTCTAATGAGATGGCGGCCATCTTCAAAATGTCCACCATCTTGAAATTTCAAGCAACTTGGAACATTTTCTTGTTGAGGGACTCATGCAGACAGTTCATACCAATTTTCATGCCTATATCACCAACTTAACAAGGACATCACCTAATTGTCCCACCTAGGTGGTGACCATCTCATAAAATGTCCACCATCTTGAAATTTCAAATGCCTGGGACACTTTTCTAGTCAAGTGACCCATGGAAAATGCTCATGCCAATTTTCATGCTTGTATCACCAACTGAACGATTATGTCACTAATCTGCTCTACTAATAGTGATTCAAGAGATTGTGCCGACGCATAATTTTAACCCCTTCAGTGCGGTGCACATAGGTCTTTATTGAAAGCACTGTTTCATCCACAAAACATCATCAGAATTGAATGACACTTTATGTGCCTCTAGATATGGATATCTAAGAGTGGGCTACATGTGTAAGGAAAAGTTTGTGTGTTCCTGCATGTATGCACAGGTGCCAATCTGCATCCATGTCATTACTGGGCATGCCGTGAGTGGAGTTTTTACAGTCAAAAATGTGACTTCCAAGTTCTGCAATTATGTGAGATTTAGGGGATTCTCATTCTGCCATTGTTTTTCCCTACACAAAAACAATGACAAGCATGTCCAGACATGTGAGATCAATTCAGTATAGATGTCTTCACCTTTGCTTTTCTGCACTTTTTTATTTTATTTTATTTTATTTTTTCATCACAATAACAGTCCATACATTACCATATATGAATGAATTACCTGGGCAGAAGATCCCATCTCCCTCATCATCTGACCACCCCACAATACTCTGCATCTTCCTCAGCAGAATGTCCTCCATGAGGATGAAGACAGGAGACACTTCATATGTAAACCTAGAAAAAATAGTTTGAATCACTTAAGGCTGTATGAAAGAATGCTGATGCTGGAAACAAGTCATATGGAAGTTTTTGCACCATTGTGATGCCCAAGTCAGTATCAGTCCAGTACTAACTAAAATTGTTAAATCAAAAATTCAAAACCAAAGTAACCTGTCAGATCTGATCCTTTAGCTGCAACGCATGACACTTAAGGTCCTTACACACTGGGGCCGACATGAATATAGAACATGAAATTTCAATATATTTGGAGGCGAATTTTGACGCGCCTGACTATACACGTGAAGCACGATGTCCGGGGGGAAAAAGACGCATCCCGGGAAGTCCTGCCTACTTCGCCTCTGATTGGCTAGAAAAGCTGGTGATGTCAGCAAACGCTCAAGCCAAACGGTCAGCACTTATAGCCAATCAGAGGAGAAGGAGGGCGGGACCTTCCCTTACCATCCTACAGCGTCCCGGGTGAAGGATGGAGGATGATAAAATGAAGATAAAGATTCAGGTTCAGACTTAACTAAACCCGTCTAGGTTTGGTGGAGGATGAGGAGGTTATTGGAGCAAAGGGTGTTGGCGTAGCTGCTCCAGGGTTCCTCGCATTTTTTTATTTTGTGAGGCAGAGTTTAATGAAATCAGGACAGTTGGGTGACAGTTTGTTGCTGATCTTTAGTTTGCCTCTGACGAAGCTCATGGAGTTGAATATCCCATTGTGCAACATACAGTATGCCAGCCGATCCCAGCTGCTGGACTGTGGTGGGTATGGGTCTGTAGTGCCTGTGAAGGTGCCACTCAGGAGGAGCTAAACCCAAGGTCCTGACAAATAATGGAATGATGTCTCCCTATCGAAGTATCGACATCCAAAGTCTATGATGCCAACACGAGGGGTCCTTTTGCTCCACTCCACCAGGATGGTTTCCATTTTTAATCGCAGTGTGCATCTCTATCCCTTTAGAAAAATCCACCGTGATATGAAAAAATAAATGCCGCATTATCACAGGACGGGAAAACATCGCTGATGTGAACGCTTGTATTGACAGGATACGGGTACGAAAAAAAATATTGGCGTCCGAAATAATTGCACGTAAAAAACGGTCCAGGTGTGAAAGGACATTTAGGCCTGCTGACTTCAATCAGCACTATGTATTTCCTGATCCAGTAAACTACCCCCCCCCACACACACACACACACACACACACTCACACACACACACACACACCCCATCCCCCTCTCTCTTTCTCTTTATCTCCATCTATCCTCTCGATCTATCTTGATTCAGCTCAAGGTATCTAGAGGGAAGTTTTTTTCTCTCAACTGTTACATACTAAATCCTTCAATGAGCCTCACTCATGTTGGGTTGAGATGGGTTAAATCTTTTCACATGTCAAGGTTGGATCTTTGTAATACATCAAACAAAGAGTAAGGTCTAGACCTGCTCTTTTTGAAAGCGTCTTGGGATAACCATTGTTGTGATTTGGCACTACATAAATAAAAATCAATTGATTAAAGTGCACAAACATATTTGCATTGGGGCCCCTCACATACTTGTTTCACTGCTGTCTCCTGCAGTGAGTCAATGAATTATGTCACTTCTTTGTGCCCTAAAACTTTCCATGAATGAAACATGCTATGAGAGGATCTGTTTACAGCTCTGAGTCATCTTAATAAGACAAGCCCCACAAGAAATTCTTTCTCCTTTTAAAAAGCCATGAAGCAAAAGTGAGGAGGTTTGATCTGCAATTAAATGATAGATTGTATCATTTATATTGATTTAAACATGACCAGAAAACAGCTAACAAATAAATGCAGAGACTGAAGAAGTATGTGTTGACAGAAATAAGTATGTCACTGTAAAAAAAAAGGTATCACTACTTAAGAAGAGGGTTCTATGCCAAATTCAAGTGCAGTATTTCTGTGCAGTATCTGAGTTTATGTTTTTTTCCAGTCTTACATGTTGGTGTTGGCTGTAGAGGTCAGCCACTCTCCAGCTAGTCCAATCACATCCAGACCTGAGGACAGCTGGTTGAAGAAACGAGGATGACCTGGGGAAAAAAATAAATAAATAAATCAAGGTCAAAGGCCTTAGAAAGCTTTTTTTTAATTATCTTTATTGATGACTTAGCTTATGTTATAAATGAAGTAAGCTGAAGTATTTATATGATCAGGGTCATTATGCTCACCACCCTCTGTAACTACTAGTTTTTCAAGGTTACCAGTCACTCAGCATTTTCACAGCCACAGTTTAGTAGTTGGGAAATTACAGTTAAAGTTTGCAGTTTGAAGTGCTTATTTTTTGATGGTGTCATGTTTAAGTGCCCAGCCCACATGAGCTCAAATGACATACATGGGTGCAAGGGGTTAGAGTGCCGAACAGATCAATATCATTGAGCAAAAGGACAATATAAAACAAAGTACATACTGATACATGAACATTCACTCATTAAAAGGGTTTCTTCTCTTCTTTTGTGGGCTTTTGAGGCAACCTCATCAAGTTTGAACAGATCTGTTTTAAACAGTCAGTCCAGTTGTTGCTCATCATCATAATAATTTAGGGTTAAAATCATGTTTTACTTACAAATATGTTTTTATTTTGGTTTTGAACAGATATTTTTCGAATAAATTTCACAGCGGAATGTCCACCCTGCCTCTTACCTTTTTCTCTCTCCTGTGTCTAATCTTTTGTTGGTACTTATCAGTGATGCTTTTTATGAAGATGCCCTGTGATACGGCTCACTTTAGCAATATCTTACTCAATACTGTGTAGGTACTACAGGTGATCTGCTTCTTGGTGATTTTGCAATGATCAAAAACTGTTGCTAATTGGTACGCATCAGTGTCAAGTTTTGTTTGCTTCAGTATATTTGTTTTCTCAAATGACTAAACTCGTTCTCCTCCATCATTACCTCCACCATGACCCAAAACAAACTTTGTGATCTGACAGCAACAGCTGATAAAAACAATGAGCCAACAAACTGACGTACACAAACACAGACACACGCACCTGTACTGACACCATATTTGAGTGTATCTCTGCAGTCCACCAGGATCTGCTCCAGAGTTTCTGGTTGCTCTGGCAAGCTCAGGCTGAAGCCCTCCAACCCCTCCATCAGCTGGTGGGGATGGTGGAAGTCCAGGACCTAAGCGCAGGAAGAACTACTTAACATATCGGGAGCATGGTGATCCCCTGATATTATCAGGGAGGTTAAAGATAGTGCGACTCTGACTGAAAAGAGAGACCACAAACTAAGACTGAACTCAAACTTCTACATGCTGTAGTTTCATAGCTTCTCTGTTCTCTTCTCTGTCATTCTGCATGATTTGTGTCAAGCAGATTTCAGCATGTGAACAAAATCTTAACTGAATGTATGATTATTTAAATGTGATCTCTTTGTTTTTAACATCTTTGCAGCACACTGAGTAATAGAATACCAAGAGACAGGGCCGCTCTGATGAATAAGCAGAATCATTGCTTTTTTCTAAACTCTAATGACATGGTTTTGTGATACTTGTTGTGCACAGCTTTAAAATGCAGTGGATTCAGTTGAAGTGGCAGGCATGCTTTGTTTGGCTCATGGTCTTTGTATCAAAAATGACACCAACATCTGCCCATTTATGAACATAAAGCAGACAGAACCATAATAATCAGATCTGACTTCTCATGAGTACTCTGTATGTCTGTTCTTATTACTCCCTGTCCAGAAGATAGATTGAACAGGGTTGGATATCATTCAGCATCTCAGTATGTGAACTTGAGAGACACTGAACAGTATCTAAACCGTACAGTCCTGAAATGACATTGATAGAGGCTGTAAAGTACCTTGGAGCTTCTCTGATTTGACTTGGAGATGTAACCCATCAGGATGTTCACTAGCTCCTGCAGAAATCCTCTTGTCATCGCCTCACCGCCTGATGTTGGGAGCAGGTCTGAGTACGAAAACACAGTCTTATAGAAACACAACAAACTTATATTTGTCAAACAGAAGCTATAGAAAGCCTGCAGGAGATTAACTGCATTTTGCTGTTTGCATTAGGTAAATTTCTCAGTTTCACTGCCTGGAGTTTGTATTTATCTATAACAACTTTAAAAACACTCTCGGATTCACGTGTGTTGATCCTCTTCCTAACCAGAAACCAAAAGCAAAGGCTGATGAATCTTTGTAGCTCAGACTAGGGGTGTCCCGGTACAATGTTGATATCGGCTACTAATCCGATATCAACATAAAAATCAAATATCCAATTATATCAGCCTGCATCTAAAATCTCTAATATCAGCACTCCGATACAAACAGTCCATTCCAGACTCTGCTCCAGCACCTCTATCTAGCAGCACCCAGATAAGGCATGTAGAGTCCATGTGATCACAACAACAGTGTGTACTAAGGTACTAACAAAGTACCAAGGAGTAGGAGTGATGTCAGCCCTGTGGCAGTATTTTTCATTAAAGTAAAAAAAGACGTTGCAGCTAAGTGCAAAACTTGTCATGCACAAGTTTGTGCTAATATTGGATCAATATTGGTATCAGACAATACTGAAGGCTACAACATTGGTTTTGTATCAGAGGTAAAAAAAGTTGTATCGTGACACCCCTAACTCAGCCCATCATCTTCTGCTTAAGCCTCTGCCCCTCAGGTCCGTGCAAATCCTCTCATGCAAACCTACACTGACCACCTCTCATTCTTCTGTCCCTGGCATATCTGTCTGCTGCTGTCAAATGAAAAATTCAGAGTCCTCAGACCTGCCTTCAACCTTTATTTCTCACATCACACAGATTCATCAGCACAAATATTTTGGTATTTTAATTGTTGATTCTCTCTTAAAGCTTCCTCCTCTCGAGGACAGAAAAGGGTTACCAACTCTCATTTTTCCCACCTCAGCCACCTCTTTGTCTTCTTTCTCTCAATACCTGTCAACCTGTCATCCTTCATTCTTCCCTTATCCAACTATCTCACATCCTTTCTTGATGGACCTTGTCGTTTCCCATCCTACCTCAATCAAATCTTACTTTTCCTTCTCTAACCACCTACCATTCCTCGCTTCCTCATTCATCTCCTATTCCCTCATACCTCAACCATCCCACATCCTCTCCTTACTTGACCACTTCTAATCCTTTCCTTCCTCAAACCCCTTCCTCCTCATTAATTAAAAAAAAAGACATTTTATCGATTTTCTTTATCTTTCTTAAAAACGTTCTCAACCCCACTTTTTTAAAATCCTTATTAAGGTCCTTTCACACCAGGACTGTTTTCTACATGCGATTATTTCGGACGTCAATATTTTTTTTTCAAACCCTTATCCTGTCAATACAAGCGTTCACATCAGCAACGTTTCCCCGTTCTGCAATATTGTGGCATTTATTTTTTCGGATCATGGTCGATTTTTCTAAAGTTTCGCATACTGTGGGTCCACTTCTGACCAATCAGACTGCGTGTTGTTGCGACGACTGATTCACCGGTATATCCATCATGGCCGACTGGCTAATTGTTTATGTTTCGGAGAACAGAGTGCTTTTTGATAAAGGACACAAATATTGCAAAGATAACGACCTGAAGACAACTTGTGGAGAGTCATAGCGTCGGATTTCTCATATGACCATGGTTTGTGTGCTTTAACAGTTTGTTAAACATCTTTGTTTTAACTTTCATCTGTGCTAAGTAACTTTAGCTCGTAAGCTATCCTGTTCAGATACAACATACCATATGTATTTTCACTGTCTCAAACTCAATCACAGCGTTGCTGTCACAGCACCATTAGGTCTCGGTTGTTACCTTACATTTATGGATTATAGTTTAATGTGCTTATCTGGTACTGGCCCCGACTCAGTACATGCTATCTATATTCCAGCAGAAGAGTATGCTACATGCTACAGACAGCCATCTCAACAGTAGTGTCTGATCAGAACTGAAAAACAGTCAGTCTACTGTTGTGTCAGTCTTCTCCCTTCCACCCCAGATGCGTCTTATTACCCCCGGAAAGTCGCTAAATTGCATCAGGCTTGATGTGTTTAGTCAGGCGCGTCAAAATTCTCCTCCGAATATTTCGAGTTCCATAGTCACGTCGGCCGTGGTGTATAAGGACCTTTAGAGATAAAAGAGCTGAGTGAGTTTAAAATCATATTTGCTTTGGTGAACACTCATTCTTTAACGCCTCAACAGAATTAGAAATGATCTGATGCAGTTGAACTGATGCAGTTCAGTCACTATGAGGATGAAGATGAGGAGGATGAGGAGTGTAGATGCAGTGACCCTGAGCAAACTGAGCTCTCACCTTTGCTGTAGATGCTGCTGAAGTCAGCAGGAGTCTGGTTTCTGTCTCTGACTGCTGCAGAGTCGCCCTGCTGTTTGTCTCTCACAGTCGACTTCTCGATTAGTCTGTCTGAAGGAAACAAACAAAAGAAACAGACGTGATTTTTGAGAGAGAACAAACTGCTCACTCTGTCATGTTGTTTAGATTCAGTCTGAATGTGTAGGAGGGTGCAGATTTTTGCCTGGAATCATCCTCTATCAGCCCCACAATGAATCAAAAGGACCTCTATGTGATTCTGTGATTCACTAATTCGTCTCGTAATTTCTATTGAGAGAATACAGGCACACAGATGATTATAATGAGATTATCTAAATAAAGTTTCTGTTATATGACAGCAGTACTTTCTATGATTTGAAACCATGACCCTTTAGGCCTGTCCCTGGAAAGATCCAAGGAGGGATAAAGGGAGGTTTGTGATAAACCAGACATGAGTTTGTTTTAATCCTAATCTGAAGCAGTTGTATGAAGCAATGTGAGGTAACGGACTTCATAGATGCACTTCAAATATATAAATAAAGATAAAAGGATCTTTAGTGGATTGAAATTCAAAACACACCGTTTATTCGTTGTCCGCTGGAAACAAGTTGGTTGATTCAAAGCCATGTTTACTCCAAAAACAACAGTTTTTATTAACTAAATATTTCATATGCTGTATGTCTGTCTTGTTGAGCACTATGTATCTGCAGACCCAATAACAGGACACCTGTTGTTTGTAATGGAACAAACTGGGGGGTAGTGCGCAAAAGTAGAATAACGAAATCCAGGATAACTGAGCAAGCGCGGCTTGACTTAGTCTTAGTCTGCGCATCTTGGCTTAATTGGTTGCACGTTTGCAGAGCCAGGATGAAAAGGCGCGGCTATGTCAAACCAGGTGTTGATAGTCAGGATAAGTGCATGTGAACGGCATTCTTAAGTAGACCACAGGATCGACCACAGAATCACGGATGGGAAGATGGCCAACAGTCGCGCAACTTACTTCACGCCCGCTGAGCAGCAGCTCCTGATGGAGCTTTACGAAGAAGTCAAACCCCTAATCTGTAAGAAAGGCAACACCAGCACCATAATCAGCCTGGCAAACAATTGCCGACCGGCTTAATGCGTAAGTAGTCCAAAAATTAATAAAAAGTTGCCTGTAGTACGGAAGGGTGTTGTATTCACTTGAGGGGGGGGGGTCATTGGCACCGCTGCGCAGCTGACTCGCATTTATTCAGGTGCCTGCGGAAGATGGTATTACTATTAGTTTGTCGACCTTGCGCAGGCACCTGAAGACTTTGTGGCTGTTCAGAAGGAAAGCCCAACATCAACAGAGAGATAGAGAGATCGAGAGATCGAGAGTAGAAAAACAAACCACAAAGCATGAGGACAAAGGAGACCTCTCTCTGCATCAGTCCCAGTTTTTGTCTCTGAGCAGGCAGGGTCTGTTGCCATTTTGAAGTTCTAACCATCCACGAAAGGTCTTACACTACTCCATGAAAAGTGAGTTCCTTAAAATTGGTGGACTAGAGCTCCAGTCCATCAAATACTGCACTCATCAGACAATGTGGAGCTCAGGGGGTTAGATATATAAACACATCTTTGACTTATTCAAGAACCTTTACATAGAGTGGACCTTTTTTAAGGTTTTCCGAAAGTGTAATATATTTTGACATAAACATTTTTTGTAGGCCTAAAGGTCCTTACACAATGGGGCCGACAAGAATATAGAACACGAAAGTACGAAATATCCGAAGACGAATTTAGACGGGCCTGACTATACACATCAAGCGCGATGCGATTTTGTGACTTTCCTCGGGGGGGGGGGAGACGCATCCCAGGGAAGACTTTTGCCGGGGACGGTCCCGCCTCCTTCACCTCTGATTGGCTAGAAAAGCTGGCCAAACATGCTCAAGCCAAACGGTCAGCACTTATAGCCAATCAGAGGCAATAAGATAAGCACATGAAACTGTGGTAACAACTGTTAGCTTATGTTAGTACAGATGAAAGTTTTTAAAAAGACGTTTAGCAAACTGTTAAAGCACAGAAACTATGGTCATATGAGAAATCAGATGGGTCCTGTGTCTTAGGCTGGTCAGACTCGACCAGCTCTGACAGGTTACAGTGGAAACACATCCTGTCCTGCAATCTGTGCACTGGCAGTCTAAATGACACCACATAAGCTTAAGTGTTTTTTTGTTTTTTTATGTTAGATATCCATGCAGGGAGGGAGGTTGATAATAATATGTTGACATGGTAACTGTCCCTTTCATTTACACAAGGACTCTGTGGTATGTAACAGACTTGCCATCAAACCAGTCAAACTATCTGATTGGGAGACTCCTCAACTGTCACGTTACTTATTTTTGTTCGTGTAGTTCGGAGGTACAACTGGATGAGTTGGCCTCAGGGATCCCTCCAAGCAACAGCAAACAGATCTGAGCTGTCAGGGACTGTACAGTATTCAAATATAATATTTAAATATATATGTTTATATATATAACAGCTTGAGGGGCTACTGTGTATAAATTACAGTAACAAACTGCTGAATAAGTATTTGGACTCAAAGTTGATGCATTGAAGATCATCAATAAAACTTTACCTCCAGACTTATTTAGTGAGGTTCAAGGTTTAAAATTCACATGAATTAAATTCATTTCATATTTCATATTTCATATTCATATTTCATAAATACTTGTTACAAGCTCTAAAGGAGACAGACTGAAGTTTATTCATCTCTTGAACAACCAATATCAGTTAGGTTTTTGGGGAGAAACACTAGACCTTTCAAACACACGCTTTACATTTGATAGATATCATCTTTCCTGAGCTGCATTTGATCATAGAAACACGCTTTAGGATATGTTTTTATGATGAATACTTTGTGTCAGTAACCTGAACATGATTTAATGCTCCTTTGTGGACAGAGTGAATACAAGTCTCTGTGTTGTTGTCTCCCTCTTAACATAAACCGGTTTTGTTTGAGATTAGTTTCACCAGACTGTCGTCTATCTTATCTCAGATGTTCTAATATTTATCAGGAAGCAGGACATGGTGTTTCTCTTAAAAACGTGTATCTAGGGCTTCTGTGCCTATAAAGTTGCCTGAGTGAGGCTTATTTCTCACTCTATACAGTGGCTTGCAAAACTTTTCTACATTTCTTATTTTATGCTGATTTTATGTGATAGAAAAGATAAACCTAAAGTGCCACAAAAGTGAAGTGAAAGGAAAATTATACATGACCTCCAAAAGTTTTTAAAACTAAAATTCTGAAAAGTGTGGTGTGCAAACTTCACACATCTAGAGACTGACATTTCTGTCCATTGCTCTTTGCGAAAAAGCTCAAGCTGAGTCAAATTTGACAGAAAGCATCAATGAACCACATTTTTTAAGGCTCGTCACAGGTTTTTAATGGGATTTAGGTCTGGACTTTGACTGGGGCATTTGAACATGTGAATATGGTTCAATCTAAACCATTCCACTATAGCTATGGCTGTATGTTTAGAGTCGTTGTCCTGCTGGAAGGTGAACCTCCACCGCTGAAGAGCAGATGAAGTAAACTTTAAAGAATTTTTGCATTAAAGTAATTTTGGCTGTAACTGGAGCTGACATTCAGATCGAGGTCATTGAAATGAGGCTGACGAATACTCTGCCCTCATCAAACTCTGCGGCGAGAGTCAGTGTCAACCCTGTTCACACACACACACACTCATACAGGGCTCATGGCAACTGTCAGAGTAGAACAAAAGGCTGAGTAATGTGAAACACCTGATTTCTACCATCCTCAGAGTGCCTGTCAGGTTAGACAGCACCTGAATGAATTGATGGACACACAGTTTAAATGGACTTTCAGCTGGAGTCAGGCGGACCCCTGTGTTTCTGTATTCAGAGCTCTTTTCTCTGCTGCTGTCTTTATCAAAGACACATCAAGGACATTCGTGGTCAGAGAATTTATCCCTGAATCTCTTTGCATATTATTCAAATGGATAGAATGATTATATTCAATAAACAGCTTCAGCTGCAGTTACAGCACACCTCAGTGAAGACACACAGGAAGGACAACAGTATGCAGAAGAGGATTTTTCAGATCAAACCTTCAAATCACAAAGAAATCCAGAGTAATTTACAGTATGAAGTCAGGTCTTCAGGGGCTGTGTTATCAGCTAAGTTGAATATAAAGTTTGACATCACAACTGATGTTCTCATCTATATGTACTGATACCTTTGAATACCATTGAATTTCCCTTCTGGGATTAATAAAGTTCCTCTTCTTAACATTTTAATACTTTTAAATTTCACAGAGGGTTATTTGGAGAGAAAAAAAAAGATAAAGTCCATGTAATAAGCATTAATTTCAAGTTCATCAGCCACCTATAAGACTCACAGATAAACATTTATAAATGTAAATAAATATGTGGTTATAACAGCATACATTACACATTTATTATTGCTTACTGACACATGAAGGTGCCCATTAAAACTGTTAGCAGTTTATATAAATGTCACAATCATGAGTAGGATGTTTATTTTCTTTAATTAGACTTAATGAAAGCTGATTAAAGATTAACTGACACTTTTTATTGACACTTTCAGAAAACAGAATCATACTAAAAAATTCAACAAACTCTTTGAGATAGTTGATCTGAAGTCCTCCTTGTTTTTCATCACAGTGCTAAGACAATGCCACATCTTTAGTGAAAGAAAATTAGGTTTTTCTTACCTGACAGCTGTAAAAAGTCCATGTCAGCACAAATCAAATCAAATCAAATCAAAAATAGATTCAGTCCAGTTTCTTTCAGTCCAATCTTCACACACGTCCCTCATGAAGCTTATCTTGTCGGTGAACTGTTTCATGGATTAACCTGCCTGTCAGACATCTGCTCAGAAAAGCTTGGAGCAGCTTCAGCATGAGCTACTCAGGTAAAGAGAGGTGTGGTCTGCAGCAGCTGCTGTTTGACTGTCACTGAAAGACAGAAAAAAAGAGACCTGCAGGGAGCTTCAGTTATGTAACATAGATCTTTGATGACAGCTTTGAAAAGAAGAGCACATATATAAAGGATCGTTTTGTCTCACCTCTCTAAAGGGTTTTTCAGCTTTTGTGCAGAGTCGTGGCTTTATACACTTTGCTTTGAAGAATCCTTTTGAAACATTTCTGCCCTCAGTCCAAAACCACAACACAGAAGGGTTTTATAGGTGTGTGTATGTGTGTGTGTGTGTGTGTGTGTGTGTGTGTGTGTGTGTAGAAACAAACAAACAAACAAAAATAATAGAATAATCTTTAAAATTTAGCCTTTCTCAACCTTTGAAAGCTTGACTGACTGACCCCTATGCTCTTTTATTACTGGGACAAAATTTTATTTTACATCTTCTTTTGATTCACTGAAGAATTATTTGAAATGAAAACAATTTGAACATTTTGGCCAGACCCTCTGCCCCACATCTGGTTCTTGTCTCACATTGTCATGATTTTACTTAACTAGTCCACATTATGCTGCTTATTCTATGGCTACCAACGGAACATACCAAAACTTGAGATTAAAGGTCCTTACGCACCAGGGCTGATGCGAATATAAAACACGAAATTACGAAATATTCAGAGGAGAATTTTGATGCGCCTGACTGTACACATCAAGCCCAATGCAATTTTGCAACTTTCCGGGGGGCAAAAGACGCATCCCAGGGAAGACTTTTGCCGGGGTAAGTCCCGCCTCCTTCGCCCTTGATTGGCTAGAAAAGCTGGAAATGTCATTCCACACTCAAGCCAAACGGTCAGCACTTATAGCCAATCAGAGGCAATACGATAAGCACATGAAACTATCGTAACAATCGTTAGCTTACATTAGCACAGATGAAAGTTTTAAAAAAGACGTTTAGCAAACTGTCAAAGCACAGAAACCATTGTCATATGAGAAATCCGACGCTATGACTCTCCACAAGTTGTCCTTCAAGTCATTATCTTTGTAATGTTTGTGTCTTTTATCAAAAAGCACTCTGTTCTCTGACACGTAAACAATCAGCCAGTCGGCCATGTTGGATATACCGGTGAATCTGATGTCGCAACAACACGCAATCTGATTGGTCAGAAGTGGACACAAGGTATACGAAACTTTAAAAAATTGACAGTGATCTGAAAAAATAAATGCCGCAATATCGCAGGACGGGAAAACGTTGCTGATGTGAACGCTTGTATTGACAGGATACCGGTTCGAAAAATATATTGACATCCGAAATAATCGCATGACAGAAATGGTCCCGGGGTGAAAGGACCTTAAGTTAATGCAAAGACAATTATATTGATTTATAGATGATTTATTTAATCAGATAGTACAAAAGTCTCTGTTTTGACAGTCGGTGGAGCTTTCATGGTAACAGTGTTCTTACCAGCAAACTTACAGGTGTAGCATCAAGACAACCCTGTGTGTAAAACTCACATATTCCTCACATGAAAGGTCACTTATCTGGTCCCAGGACACAGGATTATATAAATCTTTCTAGACTTGTTTGTACTTTCAGATTACCCAACTGACCCAACCGAAGGTTTACCTCTGGCTCTTCACAATTGGTAAATTTGGAGAACAGAAACAGAGGGCCTGATCTACCAAGATCCCAAATAGCAAACGCTAAATTGCATGTGCAAACTAAAAGAACTGCATGTGCTGTTAGTGGGGGTGTTGCGGGTGATCTACTGTCATTGCGCACGCAATTAATAACAGGTGCAAAAGTGGTGCGGCCCGCCCTCTTTAAACAAGGATTTTGCATACTCTATCGGCTGTCACAATGGAAAGTTTGTGAAAGCAGAGTGATTGTAGATGAAAAATGAAGTTTGAAGCCATGGAGTTCCACATACCGTTTTGGGGAACTGCATAAAAGGCAAGGCAAGTTTTTTTGTATAGCACCATTCATACACAAGACAATTCAAAGAACTTTACAGATGTAAGAAAATATTTTAGAAATTAAAAAAGAGATTAAAAGAATTTAAAATCAATCAGAAAAACAGATTTTTTTTCATGTGTTCTGAGTTTGACCTTATTATTTATAAAAACCATCAGACGCAGGAAAATGCAGTGTTACAAAGAGTTTTTCAACTCTGTCATCTATCATTGCACCTCTGCCTCCTTCTCCCCACAATGACCTTGCATAACACTGTGCCAGTTTGCATGTGCCTTTCAAACGTACTAAATATAGACGCAAGAGTTGCTGTGATTATGCTTGGCTCAAACAGCATATCCCCTGGGTGAGCAACGCAATCTTCGTACACCCCATTAAGTGTCAATCATAGAAAACATGAACCCCCTAATAACCTTTAAAAATGGAGCTGCACAGAAAAAAGAGGACTTGAGCACAAACTACTCTTATAGTAACTACATGTCAATATTGCAACCAGGGGGAGAAAAGTTTATATTCTCTGTAGTTAATTTAAAAGTTTGTAACATGGTACAAGATGAATGCATCATCTCCACCAGTGTAAATGTTGACTTTAGTCTTTGAGGCTATCTTCTTCTAACTTTCAGCTTTGATGTTACCACACCTTTCACCATAAATGCTTAAGTGTTCACCACTGCTTACACTTTCGTTTCCTTGCACAGATGAGCAGCTTAAAATTGCTTTCTCCAGCTCTGCTGACAGTGCCTATATTGCAGGACAGGATCCAAAATTAAAACAGTCATGTTGTTTGATGAGATAACAGGAACTAATAGTTTAGCTCAAGTGTCCGCCAGCAGGGGTAAAATGTGCTAGAACTTACTACCATGGACAGATCTGACCTAATGGGCTCTATTTTTGTGCCCGCCAGCGGCGCAGCGAAGGGTGGCAGACCCCTCGAGTGGTATTTTCATCTGGCGGAGCCTGGTGCACAGCCAGGTTGGTATTTTTGTGGACTGAGGCGCACTGAGGTCCACCAAGCAGGGCGTGGGGGTACAGTAGGGGGAGGTGTCGACAGAATCAGCTGCCGCAGTGACATTTTCATGCTCGCCAGCGGCATGGAAAGTATGCTGAAAGGTCGCTGATTCAATGCTGGTCAGCTTTCAGCGCAGGCGGAGCGCAGCTGGTCTAGTGGTATTTTGGTAGACCGGCGGCTTAGTGCGAATACGTCACCGATGCCTCACAGGTAGGTTTCCACAGTGTCAGGCACATTTCAGTGCAATAAATAATCAATAACAACCAATATTCTGAGTCAGCAAATACATTTAGATCTATACCAATGTATTCTGATCTATATCTGATCTGGTGAGCACATTTTGGCACGCGTTTGGACACTCAACTTGACCGACTTAACACAGCTGAAACTGCATTCAATTAAATATCTAGTAAATAGACACACATGATGAGGTTAACAAGATATATAATTCATCTCCCTCCTTTTCTTTCCTTCTCTTCCTCTTATTTCTTGCGCAGCTCAACCTGGACATGTCTCTGTGTCCTCACCCTGTCCTGCTGCTGCGGCAGCTGAATAGATGATTTGTTTCAGTGATCAGATGAGTTATTTACTTTAAGCCTACCTACGGATGTTATAATACTCAGTTGCGTGAGTCAAATTTATTTCATATGCCAACATCAATGAAAGAAAGGGCCAGGCCAGCAAGGGAGCCACGCGAGGCTGATCTTCCTGGACTTCAGCTCGGCCTTCAATACCATAATTCCGAGCAGACTGGTGAGCAAACTGGGGGACCTGGGTCTCTCCCACAACATCTGCCGTTGGATTTTGGACTTTCTGACAGACCGCAGAGGGTGAGAGTAGGACCCCACCTATCCCCAGCACTGAGCACCAGCACCGGCTCTCCATAGGGCTGTGTGCTAAGCCCCCTACTCTACACCCTCTACACCCACGACTGCACCCCCACTCACCCAAAAAACACCATCATCAAGTTCGCGGATGATACCACGGTGGTGGGGCTCATCTCTGGAGGAGATGAGACTGCGTAAAGAGTGGAGGTTGAGCGACTGTCAGTCTGGTGCACCTCCAACAACCTCATCCTGAACACCTCCAAGTCGAAGGAACTGATTATCGACTTCAGGAGGAGTAAACAGGACATTCAACCCATCACAAAAAACGGGGACAGGGTTGAGATTGTGCCACACTTCAAGTTTCTGGGCACCTACATCGGTGAAGACCTGACCTGGACTGCAAACTCCACCTCAATCCTGAGGAAGGCACAGCAGAGACTCTACTTCCTGAGGATCCTCAGGAAGAGCAACATAAAAACTGAGCTCTTGGTGTCCTTCTACCGCTGCTTGGTGGAGTCAGTGCTGAGCCATGGCATCTCGCTGTGGTTCTCCAGCTGCACTGCGGCAGAGAGGAAACAGCTCCAGAGGGTCATAAACACCGCTCAGAGACTGACTGGCTGCCCTCTTCCATCCCCGGAAGAGATCTACAACACCCGCTGCCTTAGGAGAGCCCGCAGCATCGTCGGGGACCCCTCACACCCCAGCCACCACCTCTTCAATCTCCTACCCTCAGGGAGGCGTTTCAGGGCAATAAAGACAAAAACAAATAGACTAAAGTACATCTTTTACCCAAGAGCTGTCGTTGCCCTGAACGCTGCAGACTCCTCCATCAATAAATAAGCCAAATACTGTAAATAGGGAATTTCTGTTTCATATCAAGTGCAATAATCCTGAATGTCTTGAGTGCAATATCCTGGTTGTTTTTTATTCATTTTCACAATTTTTTCACATTATATTTTTACTTAAATTATATTTTCATATTGTGTTATTTTGTGCTATACTATTATTTTTTTACTGA